GTGGGGAGACATGTTAAAAGTAAAAAATAAAACCGAAACAATTAAGAGCTAAGCTTTCCATACTGGAACAAAACTAGCTCTAATGTCGCCACATTCCAGAATTAAATCCTGTCTTATTGTAAGTATTAAACTCAATGAGGCGTTGTTACTCAGAGATGTGCTCAAATAAATAAAAAAGAATAAGACATAACTACAACTAATGATAGCCATATTTAATCATCTGCAAGTTGAAGATGGCATTAAAATAAACTAAATATGCTGAGGCAGTGAAACCAAAATAAACATCAGTGTTTTAACAAGAAAAATAAAAGACTACCATGGTTTCACTCTTGTTAACTTTAATAAAAAAAAAAACCTGATAAGATACTAGATGATATAAACTCTGACAAGGAATTCTAAAACCTTTAGACAACTTGAAGATGTTTCATCAAATATTTAGCGCTGCTCTAAAATTCACTGCTGGCTTTGAAAAGCACTGCTCCAAAATATCTTGTTGCAGATTGTTTCGGTAAATCTTGCAGCGCATCTACCKTTTGTGGAATAACACGTTCCATAAACTTCAAAGCGTGTCTAGAACAGRCATCATCTCTCTTTTGGTAGAACAGATTCACTGTCTTTCAAGTGTGTGCAGCGTTACTCAGGAAGTTTATGATCTCTYTGCATGAAAGTGCTCCTTCGCATCAATCTACGAACTACACTGTTGGGTTAGCTAGCAAAGGTCTCTGAGGCAACAGAGTAATGACCTCGTCCCCTTCCTCACCTGACTTAAATCCTCTGACAACTCGTGGGCTCGTCTCTAATGTGAGATTTACTGTGAAGGAAGACAAGACACCTCAGCAGAAATTGATACTGAACACATAAAGAAACTGACAGACTCCATGGATGGAAGGMTCCTAGTGGTGGGTAAAAATGAAGGAGGGAAAATAATATATCTTTATAAAAAGCAGCAAACTGTATTTTTCACKGTACATACGAGGGAGGGGTGACTGGGCTGACGTTGGAAGCTGTGGACTTGGATTGTAATGTTGATTTCTGTGTAAATCCCTGCCTAAAACAATCCTCAGAAATTAGTTTTTGTATTAAACATGTTGTTTTGTGTGAATCTTCAACTTAATTCCTAAAGCTACGCACATATCTACCTATATATACTAATAATACAGCTTAATTCATCCTAATATGTTTGTTTGTGAGCGCTAAGATGCTGTGAATTAAACAGAGCAGCTACATGCTCTGATATACTAGMTCTAAAAAAGAAACACATAATTCATATATTTTGTAAATCTACAACCCTGAAATCTTTACTAAGACAATTTGTAAAGTCTTCTTTTTTAGAATAGAAAAGTGCAATCCTAACGTMACTACGGGTCGCTCGTTTCGGTGGCGTTTGTTACCGATAGGCGCCGTTCAGCTCAGGGTGGACTGCAGCTGGGTCAACTCCTGCCCAGTGGTTGTTTGGGGTGAGGAACTCTTTATTCACACAGTTCTTCAGACTGTCAGGGATACGACCTGAAAACAGGGGAAAAAATGCAGCAAAACAAACAAAGACAAAAAATAAATAAATTAAAGAAAAGAAACGTGAATGAACTAATATATAAAGGAAAACCAGCCAGTGGGCAAGAACTATTTGTCACACATCATATCGAAATGAGGATTAAGTCAAATTTGGTCAAAATTACCTAATTACATTTTCAGATTCCTGAAATTAAAAGCTACATTTTGATACCTGGATCATTCTGATATCATAAGTTTTTSCAGTGATATGACTTRATTTGTCCTGTTGGTTACGATAATACAAAAATGTTTGGTCTGAATCCTAATTTTATGTAAATTTATTAGTATTTTTTATGTCAATTTGTATATTAAGATTTCCCAGTTGGAAAGAAACAAGAACATTGCTGGCTCACAGGGAAAAATTCAAAATTTTAAGATGTTTTTCCTCAAAATAATTTTTTTTGTTGTTGTTACAGCTCAAAAAAATGCTTTAAAATTATTTTTAGGATTATATTTCTGACAGTTCGTTCAATTGATACATTGATAAGGTCTAAGAAAATTTAGTGTTCATTAACTGAAATAGAGACGAATCCACATAAATATTGAATAGATTAAAATGTGAAGAGAAYTGGAAACATACAACCCAGATCTGGTAATGAGGGAAGCTTTTATTGCTCCAAGCTGCGCTGCCTGAAACCGCAAGTTCCGGTCTTTTTATACAGGGATCTTCAGTGCCTGGTACGCCCACTACTGGCCTACGGCTGAATYGCAGGCAACTCGTACAGCAAATATATTTCCTAATGGCTTTATAACGGTTTATTATGTGTTGTGAAGGTGTTTCGGCCATGTAACTAAACCTGTTTTAATCAAGGCATAACCATAGTTACACAATAGTTTATAAACATAAAACCTTAAAAAGGAAACTAAGACAAATAGTGTGGTGCTTCAAATCCATAACTAACTAATAAATTCCTTCAAAGGCATTAATTCAATATATTTTTGACAAAATGCAATTTTTGCACACATTTGAATCAAAAGCCTGTATCTGCCTATTTCTCCACATTCCACTTTTGGACTTAATCCTCGTTTCAATGTGATGGGTCACATTTATGTTTCGCTGCCAGACGAACGGTTAAAAATGTCATGTTTTCAGTCAGCCTGTGTGTGTGTGTGTTTCCATGGGTGTGCGTGTCCACTAACCTGTCACAGCCCTTCGAATCTCCCTAGCTGCCTCTTCTCGCATCTCCAGTGATGCCTGCTCGCTGTACCAAGCAGCATGAGGTGTGCAGATCAGGTTGGGAGCGTCTTTCAGTGGACCCTGACTGAAACTGGCACAAGAACAAAGGAGACAGTCAGTTTGAGCTGCTGTGAATCATTTTGTTCATCAGTATCAAGTTATTTGACTGAAATTTAAGAAACAATTATCATGACACTAAAAACAACTAAAGTATGAAGATATTCTTTATAACAAAAGCAGAAATTTGTCACATTTTAGATTCTGATATTTCGTTTTTTTAACCTTAAAGCCTTATTTTAAAGTTTGAATGCAATGTAAAATGAAATGTTTTGAATTCTGTATCAAATTAGATGAGGTTATAAACAGATTGGGACAAAGTTTTTTTGTGTGTTTTTTGAGCAAAGACTCCTTGGGTACAGCTGCTTTTGCCAGGCAACAAGTCCATTCAGCATGTATGAAGGTGAAGTGCAGAAGTGGTCTGGTGACTCACAATTAGAGCGGCGTGGATCTACAGTATGTTTAGAAACCGTGTTTACCTGAAAGGTTCTGTCTCGTGAACATCCAGAGCAGCTCCTCGTATCCTCCCCTCTTTCAGCGCCTGAGCCAAGGCCTTTTCGTCCACCAGACCCCCCCTGGCCGTGTTCACCAAAAACGCTCCCTGACGCATCTTCAACACCATTATACAGATTGAACATATTGTTAAAGTTGTAAATGTATAAGATATTTAATGAAACTAACTATTCATAGTAAGATAATAATAAAACAGTATGTAAATCATTAAATATTTCCTACATTAATCCCTTAAAGTAACATCCTCGTAACTTTCCATCCAAACCTTTTGTCTTATTTCATTGTATAGCACCATAAGCCGTGAATATCTACTCCTTTATTTATGTATTGCTGTGAAATGTGGATAATTAGGTTTATAAATTGATGTCCAGCCTCGTCAGAGTACCTGTTTGATGGTGAAGTCATTGATCAGGTGGTGGTTGTGTTCGTTGAGGCTGCAGTGCAGGGAGACGCAGTCTGAGTGGAAGAGCAGATCCTGAGGAGGCAGAGAGTCAATAAATCCATCCATTTCGTCTCCCTGTCTGCTGCTGCTGCCTTTTTTTAATAAACTCTCTGCAGCGGTCTGTCTTAATCTCCATTTTTTATCACTTCATAACATTTTTTAATTTTCTTCGCTGTTTTGTTTTGTTGCAGGGATGTGGCAACAGCAGCTACAAATTATTTATTTTTAACAAACCTGTCTTTGTTAATGTGTATAGATATACAGGTTTGTGTATTCAATCATTTAAATATATTGAAAAGATTATGAGTTGACTGTAAAATCATAACAGACAATTATATAATGAAAATACTCATCACTGTATTGTCTTTTTTAACCATTTCTGTTGATATTTGTATAAAGTCCCCCTCTTTAGCTCAGACTGAAGCCACAACATGTCACATAGGACAGTAAAATAAGCAAGAAGTTGCTGGATTTAGACTTTTTTGTTTGAATATACCCCCCCCCCCCACTAGGGGTGTAAGAAAATATCGATACACTGAAATATCGCGATATTTCATTTCCGGATACTGTATCGATATTCTGAAGCCCTGTATCAATTTTTAATTAAGGTTTAAAATGTCAACCTTCTTGCCAACCGTTCATTTTTATGTTGTAGTTCAGCCTCTGACCACTAGGAAGCAGCAGTGAGCCAGCCATTTGGCTCCTCTACCTCTTGAGTGCCAGAGAGTAAGGGTAGCATTAGCATTGTAAGTAAACATTAGCTTTTTTTTCTTTTTGTTTTCAGTTAGAGGTTTTTATTTAATAGAATTTTTGGACAAAAAAAGCAATATATCGCAATATATTGCCTTGCTTACAGTATCGCAATATATCGGGATATATCGTATCGTGACCCCTCTGTTATGATATGTATCGTATCGTCAAATTCTTGCCAATACACAGCCCTACCCCCCACTCATATTGTGTTTCTATTTAGTGACATATGAGTAGAAGTTTAATTATAGGAGTAATGGGAGTTCAATGGCCCTAATTTAAACCCATCAGAAACATCTTACCCACACATCACCAGTATTTGTATTTTATGTCACTATATTCTCAGCAACCTAATCATTTTATAAAGAAGTTAAGTTTTGGAAACTGACAAGCTACCAATTATTCTAAAACCTCTGGACCACAGAGTGTAAGGTTGCTGAACCGGCAGGAAAATTCAGAAACTGCTTCGCTTGAGTGGTTTAGAGGCACAGAGAAGCTGACAGTTTTAGGAAAAAAAAGTACAAAAGCAGTTGTTAGGCTGATGTGTCAAATGTAGCCCCACTCATACAGGATGTGTGGGTTTACCTGTAGTGTGGAGACCCTTTGTAGTCCCAGGGATCTCTCTACGCCATCGGCCAAATAAGGGTCGTAGAAAATCACATTGAAGCCAAAAACCTTGGCTCGGAGGGCTACGGCCTGGCCCACCCGACCTAAAAACACACCAATACACAACGTGGACATTTAGATCACTTATCATGTGAGGAATATTTGTTTTTATTTTGTATTTAATCAGATTTAGAAGGTGTTTTATAGTTCAAAGGCAGTTATATCTAATTGTCTTAAAGAAATAGCTTCATTTTGGTTTGACTTTTGATCTTTACAAATGTTTTCATTTTAGCTGCCAACTTTCACCAATTACATAATTATCTGGCGACACACATTTACCTATCTTTTACCCAAAGCCTCTCAAACTGTACAGAGAAGAGATATGCATTCTGCTTGTGTTTAATCCGCTTATTTTTTATTGGCCATAACTCCTCTGGAAACCAATTTAGCTGAGCTAAGGGCAAAACTTCCCCAAAATAAAAACTGAGTGGAAAAAAATATTAAATTTCCACTCAGTCCAAAGTTCTCACAAACTAATTAAGTTGCATTGTGAGTATAAGCAATAGTAAGAATAGGCTTGATGACAATCGTACATACACATACAGCTAGTTTTGTTTCATTGGACAAAACAAAACAGTCAAAATGTTTTTTGTTGCTTACCAAGGCCTATGAGTCCCAGAGTTTCTCCTCTGATCCTCGCTGCTCCTGATGCTACCTCTCGAATCTGCTCCACACTCTGAACTCTTGTTCCCTCCCGCAGAGCCTGAAGGCATTATTGATTAATTGTCACTTTCAAATATGAACCAGACAACAAAGACGTATTTGTTTAAGTTGATGTGGCTAAAACTCCTGTCACGACTGTGCAACGTGGAGCTAAGTCCTTTTATTTATTTATTTTTTGAGGAACAAATCATTTTATTGTATTTTCTACACTTTACCTTGACATCATTTAAACATAGCCCACAATCTAACCAAAAAAAAAAAATCTGTGTTTTAATTGTGCTGTCAGTTTAATTTATTTTCCAAATTGAAATTTTGATATCCAAATACACATGCACCTATAGCTAATTCATTCAGTATTATTGTCTTCAGATTGTACGAGTCTCTTATCTGTTACACAAAGCTACAAACCTGGTGCAGCCAGGTGGTGCGTCGGTACAACGTGAGGATATGACAGAGTGTAGAGTCCGCCGTCTCCTCCACTGAGGCCGCTGGCATATTACAAACAGCTATGCCTGTTGGATCACAGGGCAGATAAGAATTAGTAATAGTTTTGTTTTTTGTCTTTTGGACAGAGGTATGAAATTTTGTTCAAATGTTAGTCTATGCTGAAGGGATTTTGGTAGAAACAAGCTGGCAGCAGATGAAATGGTAGAAGAGCTTCTATAGAAATACAGACAGGATGTTTCAAAAAGCAAAGATCAGCCCTTTGTTGGGATTTCCTCTCGTGTACAGTACATAGGTATGTGTGGTTGTGCGTTTGTTCATACCGAGTTCACCGGCAGATTTAATATCTATGTTGTCATAACCGCTGCCGATGCGAACGATGATGCGCAGAGCTTTAAACTTCTCCAGGTCTTCTCTCATCAGAGTGATGGTGTGGTACATCAGAGCTCCAACAGCTTCATTCAGGACCTGGAAACACAACGCAGGCTAGATAAAACTGATGGGGGTGGGGGGAGGTTGGTTTTCTTTTAGGTATTAAAAGGTAGAATGTCTGAATATAATTATTGTGAACTTTTAGCTGCAGAAATGTGGCAATACCATGCAATTTAACATCAGGAAGGTTTTCTTATTGTATACCTCACATCAAAATGATCTCTTAGGGTCTTAATTGATACTGAACTATATTGAGTCTGAACTATTTGATTTGATTTTCATATAGATTGAGACTTCACCCTTCTGCGAAGCAGTTTAGCCCCTACCTCTTGATTGGCTCCCAGTTAATTGTGTGACCTCTTTCTAACATTGCCAGCCCTCTATTTCATGAGTGTGAGGGAATGAAATTGACATGAAGTTCAATTACAGCAGAAAAAAGGCCGTTTTGATTACACAGCGAGGTGCCTGCTTTTTGGAGAGACAGAGCAACAGATAGAGGATGAGCCATCTGTTTGTTCCATGCTGTGGCCTACTGAGCACGCTCACACAGTGAGTGCACCTGGCAGACACCCAGAACAAGACATAACCCTGCCAGACACACAAACCTAATTACTCTCCAGTGTTGGCTGTGGAAAGATCTGAGTATGACCCACATTCTAACATTAGTCTTCGGACCATTTATAGATTCTTTGTTTTGGTTCGTCTTTGTTCTTCTGACGTTTTATTCATTTTCGCAAGTGCTATTAAAGTTCCTCTGGTTCAACTTTGTGTCAGTAAGTGTTTATTATCAAAGTKCAGCACTTCATCTGTGCCTGAAAAGTGATTATTGTGCCTGGCACTGTTGAATATACGATACGATATGATACAATATGATACGATACGATACGATATAATACCATATGATACGCCTTTATTGATCCCTTTGGGAGGTTCCCTCGAGGAAATTACATTTCCAGCAGCAACAAAGAACAGAAGGGGAATAAAACAAACAAAAAAAATCTCTATAAGAAATTAAACAATCATTACAAAGTCTATTGCATTGCACCTGTTACTGCTGTAATTGCTCAGAGTCCCATGTGTGATGATCACTGTTTTAATCATAGTGTTCTTTTTATAGTGCAAAAATATGAGAAGGGGGGTATTTAAATAGATCACACAGACTTAATTTATCCAACTTTGCATCACAGYTTGCAAATTGCACTTTTAACTTAGGTGGATTTTTCACCTGACAAGTCTGAGAGTGGTTCAGAGGTGTTGGGAGCAGAGTTTCTGAATGTTTTATGAGTTTAAAATGTCAGAAAAAAKATGTTACAGAAAGATGAAGGTATAATGGCATTTATTYTGTGCTGCACCAAAACATTTTGTTATGTTTCCATTTCTGGAATTTTTGTCCGTCCATCAGTCCATCCAATGTCATTACAATGTCCAGAGCTCATGTCACACACCAAAAGCTGCATAGATGTTCAGCAGATTTTAATTATTATTTTTAGTTTATTGTCGTTTAAAGATGTACCTGGTTTGTGTATTACCTTCTCATGGATCTCCTGTGTGGACTGAGCATCGCAGAAAGCTACAGTTGCTACATCTTTCAGGATGGGCATCTCCACCGTGCAGTCACGCCCGTCCAGCAGCGCCACCAAGGGTCGTGGGTGCATGGGCCCATTCATAATGGGTGGTCTTATGCCTAAACATAAAAAGAAAGAAAGAAAAAGTCAAAAGAGCAAAATTAAAGAGGAGCAGCTACATTTTAATTCAGAGATTTGACATTATTTCTAATTCACTGTTTTTATCAGTTTTTTTTTAGTTGCAAAACTTTAAAGTAGAACACATGTATTTGTATTTGGCAGAAAGTTATCAAATCATAGTTACCCTGGAAATTTGCCTTAAACAACAAAGGTATAATAATGAGACATATTTATGCAATTGTTAATACTGGCCTCTGAGTGACCTGAGAGTGACTTTTAGGATCCACTTACTTAAATATGATGAAATATTTTTTCAAACAAAAAAGAATGGATACATTTTAACTTCAACTAAGACTCATGTGTGTCGTTTTTAAAAGGAATCTCTTTTATAAATAAATATATAAAAGAAATGCATTAAACATTACTGTCAGTCTGAGCAACAGAAAATGAGATGATAAGAAACAGCCACTCACTGAAATCTGACTCTAATCCGTCTTGAATTTAATAAGAAAAAGGCTCTCCTGCAACCATAGCACCGTTTTTTTTCTTTTTAATTAGCACTTCAGATTTAGTGATTACACTGAGACTGCTGTTGGGCTCGACCTGAAGATAAGTGACGTTTAACAAGACATGTGCTAGACAAACCCTCAAGTGTTCAGKTTTAACAAGAAAAGTGGGAGAAGGAAGTTGCGTTAATTAGTTTTCCTTAAATATTCAATCTTTTGTTAGTTTTTTTCTCTTTTCTCATAATTCAGTGAATAATCATTCCAGACTAACTCTGAACCAAGATAAATGAAAGACAGACATTTAGATTCAGCTGAAAGTCTGTAGCCGTGACTGTGTGTGCGCGCCGTTGGGATTTTTTTGATGTGTGAAGTTTTGACAGCCTCCTTGAAGATGTTCTGCTGATGCTGCAGCCTCGACCCATCACTTGTTCCTGCCTTGAGCTCATCTTTGATCGTGCTGGCATCTCCATGAAAACCCTTTTCTGTTGTTTCACTCAAAAATCTTTTGAAAACTCTTGAGAAATTAGTMATCATTAAAAGCAAATACATCATCTGAATTTTGTGGGATTTTTTTTTTACAGTATTTTGATTTCCAAGCTTGTACAAGAGAATTACAAGAAGACGACAACAATATTAACACTCCTCTCTGAGCAGCGATTATCAACACATCTAARTAACTTAGACTGGCTCTTAATTATACATTTTCTTTTTTTTACAAAGTATTGACTTGTAAGATTTTATTTCTTCTGGAGCTTATCTTGCAATTTATTATAACTTTCTAATTTAAAGGATTGCATTCTCAGGTTTGTATTTTAATAATAATAGACAAAAAATACAATTTTGAAACATATGTTATTACTCTTTGAATTAGAGTTGAAATGTAGCATTATATTTTAATTACTAAAGTTTATAATAAATCAGTCAGTACGGTATACTCTGAAACTATTGTAATTCAGTTTTGCTATTTCTTTCTTTATCATGGCTGGTAAAACAATAAATGCAGCGATTATATTAATTTTAGTTTCAGTGTGGTCCTGTAGCAAAAATAAACTGTATCTTTGAGAAGTAAATAGAAAAGGGGCTTGTGTATAACAGTCAAACACTAAAAACTGAAGTGCAGATAAAGTTGTATAAAAGAAAAATGTATTTCCCCATTTTTATTTACAATGTGACTATAAATATCTTTCGTGCTTCGCGCTTAAACACACAGTCACTGATATTACTTTAGTTTTGATTGTTTTAAGTAATGAACACAAAGAAGTGTAATAGATGGTATTTCTTTGGCACTCAGTTGATGCCAAATCAGCTCACAACTTAGCAAGGCTCATCCATCAGTTTTTGTCTACTAATCAAAGTCGTCAGATTACGGCATGAAACTAGATCTGATGAGCAACCCTGCCGTGCGTTAAGACCATTACAAAAAAACTGTAAATCCCCCTTCACTGTGCCTAATATGGTCTGGTAGAACATTAGCTTTACATAATAGGATTTGCCTGGAGGCAGCTGCACTTACACATCAATACAAAACCTATGGTGCATAGCTCAGAAATTTGAATTCAGCAAAAATAACTCAGAGACTCCAATATGGCTGCACACTTTCTGCACCATTCACGGTACTCCTATAAACAAGCAACCAATCGTTCGCAAGATTTGATTGAGGTTGAAACACTCGCAGCCACTGTGTGACTCAAAACTGATGCGTTCTGATTAAAMAGACAAGAGTTTCACCTCATAATATAATCCCTTCTTCTAGTCAGCGTTGCAGTGAAGTTGTGTTTCTGGAAAGGAGCACAGATTCCAGACATTTCTCTGGTTCATACTTGGTTCAGGAAATAACTCTCATTCCAGCCCCGTGCATGACCTTGGGAGGACCAGCACTACTGACTGCTGAGTCGTACTATATAATAAAACAATGTCCTGTCCACAGTCACAAACCGTCGTGCCGCACTAGAATTATTAAACATCTCCAAGTTCCTAAAATGAACAAAATCTAATGTTCATTTTTTCATTGGCYTCTTTTATGAAATGTTTCTCACTGCGTTTCCTTCACATTAAATACTCTTTAACACCTTCACAGAATTAAATACTTGGCAGGCTTTTCTCTCAATCCTTAAACCTTTTTCCATTCATTCTTCTGCCTCTTATTATTTTAATAATCCACTGCTCCCGCTGCCCCCTGTAGCCTGGGGATGGGCTAACTGCTGGGAGCTTTCACAGTGCAAACAGACCTCTTGACAGTCAACTGTGTCCACAGCCTCAGCTCTGTTTCTCTGCGGAGTTAGTTCAATTTAGAGTCGACRTTATTAATTTTGTATACATTTAGAGGCAATACAGCAAATTAGTAGAGGTGATTTGCATGTTAAGTTTATGCTTAAGGGACTAGACTTTGTAACATCCAAGATGCAGCATATTACATCGCCTTCTTAAACAAACCAGAATAGTAGTAATGATTCTGACATTTAGAGTTGGGAGAAAACCATTTGCCAATGACTTTTAGGGGCTGTAGCGTGAGAACCCTTCAGAGCCTTGCAGCCTGCCTGGATCAGGCAAAAAAAAAAGGCATCACAGGCTTTGTTCTCAAGGAAAAACACAATAATGTCAGACTGTCACCCAACAAAGATGACAAAGAACAGACATTTAGGCAATCTACTAGTTAAAAATTAGAGCCACAGAAAAATGATGTTGGCATACACACTTAATGCCATTTTCATGCTACTGTRTATGATTTTGAGCTCAATTTTTACTTCACATGGAAATGTTAGGCATTGCAGATAAATAATCCAAATCAGAGCCTGATCAAGAGTTTACTGATCACTATGCTTCAGTGCCTCAAAGACTGAAAAATACAAAAGTTGTGAGCCCTTGAAAAAGTGYAATCTGCATGGACTCTGAAAATATATTTTGAGCATATGATATCTAAGATCTCTGCTGAACATTAAAACATTTTAAAAGATGGTTTTATCAACATTCATACGAGCAAAACATGCATTATTGGAAGCTATTGTCGAGTGTACATTGTCGACAAGAAAGCCACACTTGTTTGAAACTGCTAGAACAGATGAGTCGAGGTTAAAGTTTAGAAAAAYGTGTTCTGTGTAACCTCTGTTTTAAATGATTGACATATTATGAACTCCCACTCTTGACTATGAAATGCAACAAAAAGCCTACTCTGAACTAAACAATATGCAAACTTCTAAATGTTAAGTTGGTTTTATATTTAGGAGCAGAAACGGAACCCTGGCAGCTAAAATATTTCAGCTGCAGTGTTTAATATTTTTCACWGTGAAAGGAAGAAAAGCAAATCTGTCACCTGCGATCCGTCTACAACTGCAGGAGCCGAGCATCAAGCCACTACAAGTCAGATTTATAGCATTCGTGACTCTTGTGGCGTGTTGTGACATAGTGTGGCTTGAAAGCCCTCATCTTTGTCTTTCATCCCCTCAGTGTTGATATTACCATTCTCCTGTATATTGTTCCCTCCTKTTTAGATTTACATCTCTCATTTCAGTTTGACTTCCCCAGGGTTTCTTTATCTCTCGTGCCATTTTCTTTTTCTCACTGTCTCTGTCTGCTGCCCTGTTGAAAATAAAACCTGTATCATTATAGATTATATTTATTTGTAAAATAATAATAATTGTCCATCAGGAAGTTTGATGAATCACCAGACTTTTATCCTTTCATTTTTTCTTCAATCTCTCCCTACCCACAACTCGATTCTTAAAAAAAGAAGAGATTAAAAGGCCGAATATCTTCCACAAAAAAGTCCTCCCGCCTTAATGTGCCCCCACATATACATCCTGCCCCACCTTCATCCACAGGAATACAGGTGTACGCTCAGCACACTGTCATGCTGGTTAACTACTACTGCGATATTTGATATAAACAAGTGCTTACACGATCGCCATGCAGGTCTCTCACACCCAGACTCTTGTACACACAGGCATCCATACAAGGTCTTCTTTTTCAGGTAGTGTCAACAAACTACTTCAGGTTTATCAGCTTTTTGTTCCCATTACAAAAACACACCGGAGGCAAAACAGCTAAATAAAGTGTGCAGATAAGTGTAAAAAATGCTCAGTTTTTAGAATAGGAAGCCTTTTTAGACACTAAGGATTAGAAGACATCATTTGTAGCTTCTTAGTATAATTACTGTGAAGACTTAGATAYAGAAGTTTATCTCTGCTGCGCTTAAAATGTAAAAAAAAAAAGGTTGATATTTTTATGTGATTGGAAAACATGAAGTACTTTTTGAAAAAAGGTGCTACTGTTTTTCATTGCAGTTGCAAAATACTTTCAACCAGTAAGTTTTTTTTGACAAGTTATTTGCATATCTTAAGGTGATATTTTGCTTTTCAACATTTCTTGCGTTACTGGAAATACTACATTTTGAGCCAAGCTTTGCTAGATTGAAGCAWGATTGCCAGTCCTTTTAATGGATTAAATATTAATATGCAGAAATAAAGTCTAAATTTCAAAATTTGAAGTTTTGATTCTTACACTAGAATAAGTTTGCCCTCCAAATGGATCATTAAAAATTGAAGTAATTTATTAAATTTAGTTTGTTTTGTTCTCATTCTGGGATCCACGGGTGGTCGTTGATAGATTACAAACAGAATTCTAGCAAAAAAMGCAAAAAACATCAAACACAACACGCATACTCCAAATAGATATTTGGAATTTTTCCTTCATATTATTTCAGGTAGATTGCTGCGTGAAACAATGTGTGAATGCAGCAAATATGCCAGGGTGTGCACTGAGAGTGTGCTTGTTACTGCTTTGTACCATTTTCTTCTCTTCTGTGTGTTGTTTTACTGTAGATTTATTAAATTTATGTAATTTTAATTTCAACACAAACCAACAGTCAGAGTTATTTCCCCCTCCATTCTTGACATGCTGTTAAAAAAAGCTCTCTGTAGTTCAATTTTTGCATCCAGTCTTGCATCCTCTATGCCAGATGTTGTGAGGTGCACCAGGGGGGTGACAACTTTGGAAATAGTCCAGATCAGATTCTTTGCTCATTCTCCAGAAARCAGTGTTCACGTGGGACGATCAGTTGAGAGAAGCCCACAGGTGTCAGTTCTGCCAGTTGATGWAGCAGAGCTTATTTCTGAACTGTCATCTTATTTACAGTTTTAGGTTCCTGACAGTGTTTATGATGCTGCTACAACAAAGAAGGTAGTCAAGTAATTAGTGCTTTGCATCAGATCGTCCAACTGAAATTATAGCCTACTTACTAACTGATGCTTTTGCACGTTACTTTATAGRTTATTTTTCTGTGCATGATGATATTATTTATCTGTCTAGACTGCATTTCTCTGGTAATTATTTTGAAATAACTWGAACTTTATTTTTGTGGGATGCATYATGTTATATCTAATAKTAGTGTGAGGCTTTTTCTTTGCTGCTTATGTTTATAGCCTGAGCTTTTTTTCCACCCGCGCGTCTTATAATAGACCAAGCTCATTGTGATTGTTGTTGCCACAGTCTTTCTCTTTGCCGAGCACAACGGAGTGCTGTAAATTATATGCTCCTAGACTGCAGCAACAAACTGCATTTTTTTTTAAAGTTGGTGCAATTATGCTGCATTGTCTATTTACCAGTCAGGAAATCGAAATGGTGCAATAATATTTAATCTCACAGGGTTTCTGTTAACTGACATGTCACTACAGCAGCTTCCTTCTTGTCCAGGAACATACTAAAGTGCTGATATGCAACCTTAAGAAGGAAAACATTTAGACCCAACTATAACACTCATTTCATTAATGGATTATGAGATTTTTTTTCTAATGTCAAAGAATAGGTTATTTAAATAAACAATAAAACTGCATTTTTAGTATTTTATTATGAACATTTTGGGTGTTCTGCTGTGATGAGAAGGTGACTGCCATCTGTTTACATTTCTGTTATAGACCTTTACTGTCAAATCAAACATGACCCACAGCAAAGATCAGACCACCACCATGTACGGCAGGCTGAGTTGAACACATTACATGATCAGTGCTATTCTTATTGACTTATAGAGATTTATATACAAATATCTCAAAATGATAAATCTCATACTATAATTCAAAGTGACCTTGGATTTTCAAGTAAATGAGGATGGATGAGATTTTTTTTTTTTTGGCCTCAAGGCGAAAGAGGATGGAGGTAATAAAAGATCAGAGACTCCAATTTTTGATGTCATCATGAGATAGAGCCCGCAGCCTGTTGATGACATCACACATTCATAGTATCTGCTTGCTTTTGGGAGAATTGACCTTTCAAGCCCAGAATTACATTACCACAGATTAAACAGTTCAGCTTTTGGCTGGATAATCATACGTCCTCACACCCTCCTCCTGCCTCTTCACACCCGACTCCCACCTCCACTGCTTTCTTTCTTTTTTTTCTGAACAGCTCTACCTTGATCCCATTTTCCAGAATAGTCTTTTCCAGCCACTATCACAAGGTGTATTTATCACACATGTGGAAATACAGCTCTGAGTGTGTGCATTTGAACTTGAACGTGTGTGTCAGTTGAGTTCCCTTTTGTGTGTGCACGCAGGTAAAATTGTGTGTGTGTGTGCGTGTGTGTGTGCGTGTGTGTGTGTGTGTGTGTGTGTGTGTGTGTGTGTGTGTGTGTGTG